ATGAGGGGGGATTTGATAGCAGCCTTCAACTACCTGAAGGGGGGTTCCAAAGAGAATGGAGCTCGGCTGTTCTCAGTGGTGGCAGATGACAGAACAAGGAGAAATGGTCTCAAGTTGCAGTGGGGGAAGTCCAGGTTGGATATTAGGAAACACTATTTCACTAGGAGGGTGGTGAAGCACTGGAATGCGTTACCTAGGGAGGTGGTGGAGTCTCCTTCCTTGGAGGTTTTTAAGGCCCGGCTTGACAAAGCCCTGGCTGGGATGATTTAGTTGGGATTGGTCCTGCTTTGAGCAGGGGGTTGGACTAGATGACCTCTTGAGGTCCCTTCCAACCCTGATATTCTATGATTCATTCTCATGTATGTTCTTAAGTCACCAGGACCAGAAGGTATCACCCAAGAGTCTAAAGGAACTCAAATGTGAAATTGCAGAACTACTAACTGTAATATGTAACCTATGACTGTAATCGTCCAATCAATCCCTGCTCCCTGGCGCCTCCTCCAGGTGCAGCCCACCTGGCCACCTTAACCCTTCAAATCTGGTGGGGTTGACACCCCATCACACCACCGAAGAAAGTTACCGTGGATAGTTCTCTAAAAACATCTTCCGTTCAATGCACAGCAGTGGTCAAAAAGGCTAACAGTATGTTAGGAACTATTAGGAAAGGGATAGATAATAAGACAGAAAATATCATATTGCCACTATATAAACCCATGGTACGCCCACATCTTGAATACTGTGTGCAGTTCTGGTCACCCCATCTCAGAAGAATATATCGTGGAACTAGAAACGGTTCAGAGAAGGGCAACGAAGATGATCAAGTTTATGGAACTTCCCTACAAGGAGAGACTAAAAAGATTAGGGCAGTTCAGCTTAGGAAAGAGACGACTAAGGGGGATATGACAGAGGTCTATAAAATCATGGCTGGTGTGGAGAGAGTGAATAAGGAAGTGTTATTTACCTTTTCACACAATACCAAAACCAGGGGTCACCCAATGAAATTAACAGGCAGCAGGTTTAATACAAACAAGAGGAAGTGCTTTTTCACACAATGCACAACTAACCTGTGGAACTCATTGCCAGGGGATGTTGTGAAGGGCAAAAGTATAACTGGGTTCAGAAAAGAACTAGATGAGTTAGAGGATAGGTCCATCACTGGCTAGCCAAGATGGCCAGGATGCAACCCTGAGCATGGGGCAACCCTAAACCTCTGACTACCAGATGCCAGGAGTGGAAGACAGTGGTGGATCACCCCATAATTGCCTGGTCCTGTACACGCCTTGTGAAGCTTTAACATGGGCCACTGCCTGAGACAGGATACTGGGCAAGATGGTCCATGGGCTGACCCAGTGTAGTAGCTCTTATGTACATTGCTAAGGGACTAGCCCATGCTATATTGCCACCAACACCAGCTTCTGATATACTGAACTTACAAAGTCAAGCACAGTGAAATGCTGCCCCCAGGCTATACTCCTCCATCGGGGTTTGCAGTTTGCAGTCAGTGGGACTTGGACTCCTAAGTCACTTCGGTGCTTTAAAAACTCCTGTATTTAGGCACCTACGGGGGAGATTAGGAGCCTGACTTTAGGCACCTTCTCTTTTTTGAAAATGATGTCCTGTGTGTGTAAGGAGAGCTCACAGTCACGTTGTGAATGTATTGAAAGTCTCAGTAACTTTTCATTCACAGAGAAGCAATTTTATTTTGAAGATTTTATGCCACTAAGAGAATCTTTTAAAAATAAAAATACAACCTTAGCCCCGATGCGGCAAACGCTGAGGCACACACTCCGCTGTAAGTACATGGCTAGTCCCGCTGAAGGCAATGGGGCTGTTCATGTGAGCCAAGCTATGCACCCGCTGACTGCAGGTTGGGGCCCTTCCTTTGCAAGATTTGTTTCTAGGTGATAGCAGTTTTTAAAATTCAATTAAGTCACCGTCCCGGGGGTGCTCACTCACCACGGGCGGCGCCTCCTCTTGGTCACTCTGGGGAATAGCTCTCTGCCAGGTCTGATGCCTCTCTTATGGTGTCTGCCTCCCGTTGTCCTTTCTCTCTCTGAGGCCCCACTCTCGCTCCAGGTGCTGCAGCCACCTCCTTGTAACTCGGCCCTCTGGCCAGGTCACTAGACACGTTTCCTCTTCCGGGGGATCAAGGTTCCTTTGTATGAAGGGTTCAGTCTTCCCATTCACTGCCTGGATGGTGCCATTTGCCCATGGCTGTCAGAGGAACTCAGGCCTGCCCTTGACTCCAGGTTCTGGCTCAGGGACCCTCTAGTCAGCTCCCTCCTAGACCTTACTGTCTTTCCCGGGGCCCTTTCCTTACCTTCTGGCTCTCCCACTTCTCTGGGTTTGGCCAGCCTCCTCCCAAGGAGTGACTACAGGCTACTTGTCTCTGTCACCCCAAGCGCACCTCCCTTCCCCCAGGGAGTGACTGCACCCCACTCCCCTGCACCCCTCTCTGCTCTCAGCTCCCTGGCTTTATAGAAGCCCTGTTCCCACACAGGTGAGCTTCCCCCAACTTGGGAGACCCTGTGGCAGTCTCCAGGCCTGGGGGTGGGGAGGTGAAGAACCAGAGGTGAGGCTGGAGGACTGAACTGACAGGGAGCTGCAGGGGTGGGGTGGTGAACAGAGGGGAGGGTGGGGGCTGGGGGACAGGCAGAACTTACATGGGGGCAGAACTGATGCGGGGACTGGGGGATAGAATTGTTGGGGGCAGAACTGATTGCAGGGCAGGGGACGGGCAGCTGCGGGGGTGAGATGTGATGGGTGCCATCCATTTGGGAGAGTGGGTAATAGTAGCCATCAGCCCGCACACTGGGGCTGGGCAGGGGGAGTTCAACGGACAGACCAAAAACCAATATCGTCTTTTAAGAACAAAACCAGATTTGGGGCCTGACTCGTGATTTGGATCTCCTGTGGCTGGCAGTCCTGGGGATGGGGCATTTCGAGCTGGGCCTCTGGTTACTGTCCTGGACACTTTTCTTGTGGGGGGCTGGGGGGGGGGGGGAGGCCCAGGCTCATGGCTGCTGCGCTACAGCAGGAGAGGTGCCCGAGCTGTCTCTTCTATGAATGCTGATGAGGGTCAATTCTTGCAGGGGTGGCTGTTGACAAGACATACAAAAGAGCAGCAGGGAATGAATCTCATGCTGGGCCTATGGACCCTCGCCCTGGGCCTCACACATCTCGTCAGAGGCAAAAGAAGCCACACACCAGAACTAGATACAAGTCAGCTTCCAGTGACAAGCTGCTGGCTGGGAAGAGCAGGCCACGAGCCAGGCGTAGCTTACCACAGGAGGGAAGCAGCATACCACTGGCCAAGGGAACCACAGCACCGGCCAGGGAGAGCAAGTCACAGGCTGAAAGGGGCACACCAGGGACTGGGGAGAGTGCTCCGCAGGCCAGGGAGAGCGGGTATGAGCCATATCTGGGAGCTGAGCCGCATGCCGGAAGGAGGGAATTGCATGCTGGGAGGAAAGAGTTGCATGCCAAACTCCAATTAGCTCCCAGATACAAGGGGTCACCATCTGGGAGGAACCAGTCGCATGACAGATGCCACAGAGCGGAGGTCGTGTGGCTAGAGTCGGCTGCTGGGTGTGATGAGCTGGATCCTGGGTGGAGTGAACTACCTGATGATTGGAAGAGTCTCCCACAAAGTGGAAGATGGTTGCTCCTGGGTGGAACGAATTGGCAGCCAGATACAAGTCAGGTCCCAGCTGGGACGGAGAAGAGGGTGCAGGAGCAATGCTTTGGGACAGCGTGTCTAACGCGCATGACGCTCCTGGTGGGAGAGAGTCCGCTGCCCAGTGTAACAAGGACATTCCCCAGAGGAACAAATCGTCTGCCAGATGGAAAGAGACAAGCCCTGAGTGAAACCATGCATTTGCCCAGGTGGCCAAGCCAATCCCCAGGCAGGCCAGGCCAGTTCCAGTGTCCTACAACTCCACTCTTGGGCAAGAGCAGGTGGCTCCAGGGTGGAACGAGATGGAGATGGGATGGGATGAATAAGTTGCCCAGTGGAACAAGCCAGCTCTTGGATGCAATCCGTCGGCTCCAGAGTGGGGTGAATCAGCTGCCCTGCAAAATGCCTCCGCTCCCAGATATAATCAGTCAGTCCCAGGCTGGAATGAGCCAGCGCCCAGACGGAAGCGGTCCTGATGTTTCGTCCTCTGATTCCAGCTGTTCCCATAACCAGCTTCACCCCAGGGAGGGGAGAATGCTGTGAATGCTGGGACCCACTGGGACCCACTGGGAAAGAGGTTTCCTAGGGGCATTGGCCCATGGGCAAGCAGCTGTTCAATAAAGGACAGGACCAGGGCTCTCCGTCTGTCTTGATCACGCACTGAGAAGCCAGACGCTGAGGAGCTGCTTAGGCAGGAACAGGAGCAGAGCTCCCAGGGCCTTTCTGACCTCCAGAGGCCCAGTGGTGTCCTGGCATTAGGGTGCTTAGGGCCACCTCAATGCTGCTGGCGCTGCCCCCATTGGCACATGGTTCAGCTGCATAGTTATACCACACACCTGTTGCGGACACTATAGATAGGAGGACATGGTCCTGCTCGTTGCTCACACACTAAGGTGATGGACCCTATAAGAGCCCAGAAAGGCCCTGGGTCCCCCCGGTGCTGTCAGGAGGTTACAGCCCCCTGACTGCTGTGGCTCAGGGCTCTGGTTTGGCTCTCTTTGAGGGGTGCCCAGGGAAGGGAAAGGGAGGTGCGTGCACAAGGCAGCCGGGGAAGGAGAGAGGGAGACATCACTTTGGGACATGACTACAGTAGAACTCAGCGTTACGAACACCTCGGGAGTGGAGGTTGTTCCTAACTCTGAACAAAACGTCAGGGTTGTTCTTTCAAAAGTTTACAACTGAACACTGACTTAATACAGCTTTGAAACTTTACTGTGCAGAAGAAAAATGCTGCTTTGAACCATCTTATTTTAAATGAAACAAGCCCAGAAACCGTTTCCTTACCTTGTCAAATCTTTTTTCAAACTGACCCTTTATTTTTTAGTTGTATACATTTAACACAGCACTGTCCTGTATTTGCTTTTTTTGTGTGTGTCTCTGCTGCTGCCTGATCCCGTCCTTGCGATTCCAAATGAGGAGTGTGGTTGGCCGGTCCGTTTGTAACTCTGGTGTTCATAACTCTGAGGTTCTACTGTCGGGGAGAACTAGTTTGAGATGGATTACCCCTGAAGCTCTGTACAGAGTGTGGTAACACGCTCCCCTGCTCCCCACACCCACTGCCTTTAAATAGCCACAGGCAGGTGGCTTCTGGCCTGGCAGGCTTTGGGGATAAGGAGGGCACACAGCTGCCTTTGGCATAGGGTATGACCTGAATGCCAAGTTGGCTGGTGTGAGCATCAGTGTGGGGACGTTCCGTGGGAAACTCTGCAGGAAACAGTGGATCTGAGGGCACTGGACAGGAGAGGAGGCTGGTTCCTTTCCTGGGTGCCTCCGTCCTGGGTTATAAATCCAAGGAAGGCAATAAGGACTGAATCCTGAAATGACTGGGGAAGTGGAGGAGTTCTCTGCGGATCAGACTGGTGTTTTTTGTGTTCTTTGTACAAGTAAACAGCCAAGAGGCAGGTCAAGATGAGCTGGGATGAAAGCCTCCATGGGGATCTTAGGGGAGGAGGCACTGAAGCAGGGGCCACAGGGGTGACAGGCAGAGCTGAGATGAGGGTGGAGGAGAGGAAATGTTCCAGGGTGGCACAAAGGTGATGGATGCTGGAAGCCAATGGATTGTCTGAGCCAAGGAATAAAGCAGGGCAGAGGGAGTTGTGTCTAAGCATGTTCCTCCCACCCAAAATAAGCGTTTCTATCAGCAAGACACATCTGTCCTATTTCTAGGGGGCTTCACAGCCGTTAGCTAAGCACAGGAAATGACACCATTTATCTGAAGAATCATGAGCTGTAGCTCTGTTGACCTGGCCGATCTCAACAGTAATGGCAGCTAAGGACGTGGCATTCAAGGCATTGGACAGTCTGTACAGCTGAGTAGAATCAGTAAGTGTTAGCAACAGGCAGAGCAGAGAGAAGGGGGAGAGAACTGAACTGTGTGGTGCACCCCACAGAGCAGGAGTGTGATGGGGCACTCACTTCGTCAGTGCTGGGTATGACTCAGCAACCCCCTTTTCCCTGCTCCCGGTGCCCCCTGTACGTTGTTGGCCTCACTAGGTGGGGCTTCAGTGGCTCAGCCTTCCGGCTAAGTCACACAGTCAATAGATGAATGAATGAACCCTTCCTGGGGTGACAAAGCTCAACGAAAGGTTGGCGCTCACCAGGGACTTCAGCCCCATCTCTGGGCCGGCTTGAATTCCAGCCCCTTTCTCAGTCTTTCAGTAGAGAGTCTTGTCCCCTTTTCAGGACTGAGGCCACTTCCCCCCTGGCCAGTGAGGGGGCCCCAGGCCCACCCACTACTCCAGGTCCCAACCCAGGGACCCTGTAAGCAGGTCCCACCTGGCCTCTCTACCTCTGTGCGTTACCGTACGGCTAGAGCTCTGCAGTCTATGGCGCTCCTGGGGCCAGAACATACCCCAACCAGCACTGAGCACCTCACCCCTGCAGCGCCTTTTATCTGAGCCTGCTGGGCTCTGATTGGCTGCTTCTAGGCAGCCTCTCTAGGCAGGCCGGGTGGACCTATCTCTGCTACTCCTTCCTGGGGCGCAGTGTGGTGGGACCACAGGGCTGCTGGTGCCCGCCATGACAAGGAATCTTGGGGGAAAGGGAAGCTGAGGTTCGTTATCCACTACAGAGGTGCTGCGGGGGGCAGGCCCGGCTGGCTGAAGGTTTGCACTGCGAGCACAGAGAAAGAGGAGGCTGAAGAGCCTTCTTCAGCAGGAAGAGAGAGGTTGCTATGTATGGGACAAAAGCTGGGTCTGTGCTATGCACTGAACAAAGTGCCGACTGAAAATGGGCCAGCCAGGGAGGTGACTGCAAAGAGGAGGGAGATCTGCTTTCCGAGGAAGGGAAGAGCGGAAGTAGGGGGAGGCTGGAGGTGGGGAGGGCCATGGGGAGATGTCTCTAAAAGAGGCTGGACAGAGGCAGATTTGAGGGGGAAGGTATAAGGGAAGGACAATGACAATGGTGCTAGCAGGCCCCAAGGGTAGGGAGCAGCAGGGGTCACTCTGGAGGAGGGGACAGTGGCAGTGCTCTCAGGCTCTGCCCCCCTCAGGTACCTGAATGAGACGTGGAGAGCGCAGCTGTTCAGACTATGACTGTGTCTGTCTCTGAGCTCTAGGGGGCTCTTTGCCCCGGCTCCCCGCGGAGGGGTTTGAATACGTCCACAGTCTCCGCTAGTCTTTTTCTTGACTGGGGGAAGAGAAAGCGGTGGCACCTGCCCAACATCAGTACGTGTGACGTTCCAATGAGAGGTCACTCCCAGTGACCTGTGAGGAAATAATTCACGGTGACACTTACATCATCACACCTGGGCCTCTGAGCTTGCACTCCCCTGCCCTTAAAAGAACAGGAGTACTTGTGGCACCTTAGAGACTAACAAATTTATTAGAGCATAAGCTTTCGTGGACTACAGCCCACTTCTTCGGATGCATATAGAGTGAAACATATATTGAGGAAATATATATACACACATACAGAGAGCATGAACAGGTGGGAGTTGTCTTACCAACTCTGAGAGGCCAATTAAGTAAGAGGAAAAAAAAAACTTTTGAAGTGATAATCAAGCTAGCTCAGTACAGACAGTTTGATAAGAAGTGTGAGAATACTTACAAGGGGAGATAGATTCAATGTAATGGCTCAGCCATTCCCAGTCCTTATTCTCTGTCCCCTGCCGTTGACACTTCTCAGAGCTAGTGTTGTCGGCTCATCTCTGCATCGTGTACACACAAGTCACAATTCTAAAGTTTTCATCACAGCCATCACTAGAGACTTAATTCTTGTTAAAGACAGTTCAGATTCTGGAGCCCCGCTTGAGAGAGGTGCAGCTGCGTTGTACCGACACACACTGGCTCAATCCAAGAGTCGGGAGACAGGCTCAAAGGATCGAAGAGAGGAGTTGACAGAGGAGTTGGGAATGAGTGGCATCAGTAGGGTGCCTGGTGGAAGACGGGGCGGGGGGGAGAAAGGTGGGTGAATGTTACAGTGGAAAGGCGCGAAGGAGATGGTGGATGGAGGAGATTGTGGAGAGTTCTGACGGGAAAGGGGAGATCTTTGGAGGGCAGTGAGGGCACTGATACAACGAGCAGGAGGACAGGAACTGCTGTGCCAGCCAGATCTATGTAGTCCAGTCTCCAAGTCCTGTCTAGGACAGTGGCTAATACCAGCTGCTTCAGAGACACCTACTGGCCAATTGTGGTACAAGATGCCCACTGTCGTCAGATGTCACCGGTGTGGTGTTCTGCTCTGTTCAATGTTGATAACAGTCGGCTGCATGCGTGTGGTTCTCCCTGTGTGCTGCCCCGGCTCTGCAGATAGCTGGCACAGCAGATCTCGAGCGAACCGCCCAATGACCACAGACTCCGATAAGGTACGAAGGCACCCGTCCAGCTTTATTGCCAAACGAAACACAGTCTCTAGCTCCCCGGATCAGATGTCTACAGTTCTGCTAGTACAGATGTGCTCCCTGGCAATGGACTGGCTCAGTCAGTGGCGGGATTTACCACTGACCCCTAGGCCAGACAAAGACACCCACTCAGGGATGCGTTCTTATACACAGGTACAAACACATTACACATCACTCCTGACGTATTGAAATGCAACCCCTCCATGCAGTAAGGTGCTACCTCTCACCTTGGTTTGAACAAAATAACTCTAGCCAGCATATTACCCTTTTGCCTGTCTTTAGGATGGGTCAGCCTGGTCCTTGTTATGTGTGGAATGTGCAAGTATCAGAGCGTTCTTGGTACCATCCTGGCACATGTTTATATCTCTAGTGTTCAGTACCTCTTAGGTATGTGTATTTTTGCAACATCAGCCCTTTCCTTGCCAGCTTCACAGGATTTGGGGACTTCAACAGCTGAGTCAAGGGAAAGGGGGTGGGTCAGCTTTTGTGGCCTGCATCATGCGGGAGGTCAGACTAGATGATCATACTGGTCCCTTCTGACCTTAAAGTCTATGAGTATGAGTCTATGAGCTTCTGTGAGCAGGGCCTGCCTGTGACTCACAGCTTTACGTTAACAAAGTCTTGACCATTACTTTAGTTCAGGCCTTAGGCCTAATACCGGGCCTCTGATATAAGAGTTTATGTTTCAGGGCCTCATCTTACTACACCCACATAGACGAAGTTTCTGCCTGACCCCACCCATCACTTGGTGCTTGGCTTATGTTCTGATGCAGGGCAGTTGATATTGCTCTTGTTTTAATCCTATCTGCATGTAGCTGTTGGTGTTCTCATTATCTAGATACATGTCTAATCCTTTCTGAATCCTACTTAAGCCTTTCCCTCAATGATTGTTGTGTCCGTGAGGTTAGTTGGGCAGAAGACAGTTGTGGTTTTTATTTTTGACTGTCATCTTTTATGGACGTGGCAATTTGCCATTGAGGAAGCAGAAGCTGAGCAAGGTCGATCTCGCAGGAGATGCATGTTTATTAGTTAAGAATATGTACTAGTTTATGACATGCATTTCTAATGTACCCTTCAGGCTCGAATCTGGATAGACACCCAATATATTAAGTAGATATCAGATTCCCCTAAAGTCCAATTTGCAAATGCACATGTAATTTTCCCCAAAAGAAAGTGCGTCCCCGGAAATCTCACTTCAAGGTGAATTTAAGGATATGGGCCCGGTGGGGAAGTGACCCAGTGTGCCATTCATGTGGAAAGGCTGGAATGGGCAGAAAGGCAGCTGGAGGGGCAGGAAGAACAGAGCCGTGACAGCTGGAGCTGTAGGCCAGTCCCAATGAGAACATGCAGCCCCTCCCTCA